TTTCTTTTTCTTTCTTCCCTCTCTTTGTTTTCTTTTGGTGCACCATTGAGGGTTTCATTTTCTTTTCTTTGTCTCTTTCTTTCATTCTCTGTTTCTATTTGGCATGTTAGAATTTCTTTTTCTTCTACCACCTCCACTACAATCCTGTTTACTCTGAATTGATCCACAGAAACTAAAGTTTCGGACTTGGACAAGGTCCTAGCTCCAGCTCTCTGACTCAATTCTGAGTCTGGGGAAAGCGTGGGGATGTGGCCAGTACACCCTGGCTCTATCTCATAATCAGTCACTAATTTGGTGGTGATTTTATTTTCTACAAAAGGCTTCAAGACAGTCTTTGTCCCTTATCGGACAATATAAAATACTTGACCTGCATAAAATTTGCCTTTATTTTCTGCACGGCCCAATCTGTAACTAGTGCTTGACTCTCTTGGATTGTTCTTTTAGGTGCAAACTTCAGTATTCCCTTTTTGATTTTGATTTCTGCATCAAAGTGGTCTAAGAAATCATATCCTAGCAGGTTTTCTTCTATGTCTGCTTCATATACTGGAAACACGAATGTTCTGTCTCCTATTTTGATTTCTTTCTTGATGGGTCCATAGAGCACTGTTTTGTGTGAAGTGGCACTTTTTAATTTTAGTCTTGCTTCTTCTACTTTTTCAGTTGAACGTTTGAAGACAGTTATTACTGCTCCGGTGTCCATTACCGCTGAATCTGGGTAACCATTTATGATGCAGTCAATTACTGGTGCATCATTTGACAAGTGCATCCACTTGACAAACTGAACAAGTTAAATGTTCTTCAGGTTGTTCTGAATTTTCCAGGTTAGTAGTTTTTGTTTCTACTTTAACTTCTGGTTCTTTTTCTGGAACTTTTTCTTCTTTCTTCAATTCTTGTGGATTTGGTTCTTAAATGACTTCGGTCTCTGAAACCACTTTAACTTCAGAGACATTCTTTAGTTTCCCTGATTTTTGGGAACGAATGGGACCATGGTCTGGTCCTTACTTTCTTGGTCATTCTTCTTACTGCTTTCTCCCATGCTCTTATACCACATCATTGCTGCGGTGTAAATGTCTGGGGGACAATTAGGCAGTAGGTAGCCGTAATGACCTCCTCCTCTTGATCCTCCTCTGGATCCTCCTCTGGAGTTGTTTTTAGATCGACATTCGTTTGCATAATGTCCTTTTCTTCCACAGGAGAAACAAGTGATGTCACTTTTATCAACAGTTTCCCTGCTATCTTGCTTATGCCAGCAATTTTCGGTACTGTGACCTGGTCGTTTGCAATGGTCACAATAGGAAGTGTTATACACTCGTGAGCAAAATAAAAGCACCACTTTTTTGACAGGGCGTAATTTCTAAGTGTGATTAGGTAGGAGGTTGCCGTTAGGCAGGGAGATTGGCTCATATGTTGGCAACAGACACCTAAAAGCGCAAACCTTGATCTCGAACGGTTCGCGAGCTGTGGGGCCTAACGCATCGCGACACCACACTTCGCAGTGTGGTTATAAAACAGAGGTTGCTTTGTGACGCTCCCCTGACCGATTGGGGGGTCGGATCCGGCTGAAAATTTAGGGGAGTACTCTCCTAGGTACAGCAGACATAATGTAGTCTCAAAAAACCGCCTTTGCGAACTTCCAACCCTTCCTAACCACCCCTTAATTGACGAATCATGAATTGATTAAAGACGGCCTCTTAGGTAAAATTGAGCGCCGGTGGTCGCCGTGTGACGTGGGCTGAATGTTTTAATGTCTCCTACCGTTTAGCAGTGATTTTCACCTCGTCCAACCACCCCAGGCCCACCGAAAGCTACCACCCCTCAACCCCACTTTCTGGATCCGCCTCTAAACCGCATGTTTCTGAGTCAAACTTTTCGTGACAATACTCAGATTGACAGATAGACGCCCCTGCCATTAAAAACAGCCGAAAACGGAACCAAAAAAATGTTTTTTTCAACAAATTTACGGCACTTTTTAACGCTTGGTGCAGTTAGGCCCCTTAAACGACCCTGGGGGGTTCGAAAGGGTGCGACAGTGTCTGGGTTTGTTCGCAATGTCATCCTGGACAAGACTGAAGGCATTCCACGCAAAAAATCCATGGAAACTCTCGCACAATTGCCAAAACGTGATCGGGGTGGGCAAAATCAACCCCTACTTTAGAGGGTTGTACCGGGTGAACGCGTGGGGTGGCCGACTTGACCCGCCCGTCAAAAGGTGTGCCCGACCTTCATCTTGGAGGGCGCGAGGAATCAGACAGCTCCTCTAATTGCTTCCTGGTGAAATTCGCTACGGCCTGAGACACTACGTGTTCACTCCGGGCGAGAAAGCCACGCTGTTTGCTGGGAGCGTATAGGGTATAAGGGTATATAGGGTATAGTATAAGGGGCCTAACTGCACCAACCGTTAAAGTGCCGTAAATTTGTTGAAAAAAACATTTTTTTGGTTCCGTTTTCGGCTGTTTTTAATGGCAGGGGCGTTTATCTGTCAATCTGAGTATTGTCACGAAAAGTTTGACTCAGAAACATGCGGTTTAGGGGCGGATCCAGAAAGTGGGGTTGAGGGGTGGTAGCTTTCGGTGGGCCTGGGTTGGGTGGACGGGGTGAAAATCACTGCTAAACGGTAGGGGACATTAAAACATTCAGCCCACGTCACACGGCGACCACCGGCGCTCAATTTTACCCAAGGGGCCGTCTTTAAATGATCAATTCATGATTCGTCAATTAAGGGGTGGTTAGGAAGAGTTGGAAGTTCGCAAGGGCGGTTTTTTGAGACGACATTATGTCGGCTACACCTAGGAGAGTACTCCTCTAAATTTTCAGCCGGATCCGACCCCCCAATCGGTCAGGGGAGCGTCACAAAGCAACCTCTGTTTCATAACCACACTGCGAAGTGTGGTGTCGCGATGCGTTAGGCCCCACAGCTCGCGAACCGCTCGAGATCAAGGTTTGCGCTTTTAGGTGTCTGTTGCCAACATATGAGCCAATCTCCCTGCCTAACGGCAACCTCCTACCTAATCACACTTGGAAATTACGCCTTGTCAAAAAAGTGGTGCTTTAATTTTGCTCACGAGTGTAACTTCCACCACCTCGGCCGCGTCCTCTTCCTCGACCTCGGCCATGGTAACTTTCTTCCGTCTTCTCATTATTATTTTGGTTTATTTCCTCCTGATTTTCTTCACTACCAGGGAAAGCCATGCTAGCTTTCTTAAGCTTTTCTTCGTAAGGAGTAAGTTGATTTGATGGTCCGGCTACTGGCTCTTTATCTCCTTCTGTTATTGCAGCTAATCTGACTCTCTTAAAAGAGGGTTCATCCATATTGATTGTCATGCCTCTACTGAGAATTTTCAAAGCATCATCTATGGTTGACACTGCTGCGAATGAGATTTGTCTTGCTGCAGAACGGTCGTGCATGCCTTTGATAAAGACTTCGACCAGAGATTCTTGTATATCTGGTTCAGGACAATTTCTGTGGTAAGCTCTCCCTTTTCTTTCCACAATTCTGGCAAAATCTCTTAATGATTGCTCTCTTTCTTGTTTAAGACTTACAAATTCATGTTTTCTTTCAGCCATTGATGGGGTCTGGCTGTATATTCTCTCCAGAGTCTCGTCCAATGCTCTGAACGTGACTGGTTTCCCCGTCTGTTTAAGTGTGGAAATTACTTCTGTTGCGTTTCCAACTAAGGCTGCCTTTTTCTCTTGATGATCCTATTGGTTGGCTGCAGCTACACTCTCAAATTGGACTTGAAATACTGAGTAGTCATAGCTACCATCATAGGCTTTTAAGGTAGATTTACTTCTGCTCATGTTTGGTTGAGCACGCCTTCTTGGCCTAAAATGTGTCCTCTCATTTTCATCTTCTTCTTCCTCGTCTTCTGATGGAGATCTTCTCCTTCTGTTTCGGAAATAGGGACCTAGTCTGTTATTTTCTTCTTCCTCTGCTTCTGATTGTTCCCAATCATCATTGTATTCCTCTGTGTCGTTGTCTGTTTCATTATTTGCTTCATTTTCAGACTGATTGCCTTGCTGACTTTCGTCACCACTCCATCCAAGGCGCCTTGTTCCTCGTCGGACTCTCGTTCCTCTCCTTGGGGGGTTATTTGCTTGATTTGCCTGATTTGCTCGACGACCTCGAGGACGGCCTCTGGGGCGTCTTCCTCCACGAGCTCGTCTTACGACAACATTTGGTTGAGCTTGGGCTGCCTCTCCCTCGTTCA